TGTAAATCTCGCACCATCACCAACATATATAAAGATCATTATCATCACCTGCTTCAAGCTTTGTTGATGATGTTAGAACAAGGATGGAACCCAGTGGTTGGAGTAGAGATCATGCACCCTCGTTGTCATTCTTGTTCTGGTTGTCAAAGGTAGATGAGTTTTTGGTTTTGTTGCATTTGAAACGCATTCCTCTCTCTCTCTCTCTCTCTCTCTCTCTCTTCTCACCTCACATGATCCTTGGCAGCTTGTGTTCTTGAGCTATACATTACACGGCAGCCTTCACCATCTACCGCTCCATGAGATGAAAGGACTGTCTTGATGGGATGCCTTTGTCTTCTTCCCCTCTCTCTCATCCCTTCGCTAGCCTCGGGTAGATGCGCAGGGTTCACAGGCACAGGTCCATCAAACAATCCGCCATCTCATCCCTTCGTTAGCCTCAGGTAGATGCGCAGGGTTCACAGGCACAGTTCCATCACACAATCGACCCTCGGCAGCTCCGTGTACAGCGAGCACGGCATGAATGGGTCACAAGAGCGTCCTGTTGTCCACAGGCCTCGTGAGAGAAGCAACAGGGAACGAGAAGCCATTCGAGACGTCACATGGAGGAGCGCTGCCAAATGGAATCGTACAGTCGAAGGCAACGACGCGTGTTGGCCATGGAAGCGCAGCCCTCAGCGTCGTTCTCTCGCGCTCTCGCGGCCCTGCAAACCTCCATCATGCGTAGGCCACACATACTGATGATTACTGCAGTACTATATTCTCACTGAAGCAGAGGCGTGTGGGCTTCGTGCTCATGCACGGTGAGTGCAGTAACCTAAACGCAAGATCTTGTATTATATCCATCTGATGATTCAATGTGGCTAAGCTGTCATCAACTCATGAATCCAAAAGGAGATTTTGTCCGGAAAGCAACGCATGACCCAACAATGCAGTCTTCGATCGATGTCCTTTTCCGGCTCCAGCTACCCTTCCTGCTTCCCATGGACGGATGCCGACCCTGCTGCATCATGCGCATCTGTTAGTGCAAGATGGTAGACGGCAGCGAATCTTTATCTAGTGATCCATCACACTGGATGGGTGAATCGATCGATCTTCTTGCCATGGATTCATTTACCGAGGAAGTGAAGGCTGTCCTTGTTCTTCTTTATCATCACCTATCGGTCAGAGGGGCTCACAGAGCGCAGAAAGATTCCCATCCCTGCCGTGGAGCTGTGATGCTGTGCTGTTTGTTGTCTTCGCTCGTGACCTCCCCCTCTTCCCTCTTTCTCTTTTCCTTTATCCTTTTGTTCTTTTCCCCCGTCTCAAGAACGCCGCTATAAATCAACCTGCATGCTCTGAGAAAAGCAAGCTCCTCGAAGCCGAGCGAAAAGAGAAGCGAAGGATGAGCTGGGAGAGAAGAGGGGGTGAGCGCACGAAGAAGAAGGGACGGGAAGAACAAGCCTCTGCTTGCTACGCTCATGCCGGCGCTTCCGAGAGGAGGGAAGGGGGGAAAAAGGAGGGGGCGGTGATGAGGAAGAGGGTGATGGTGGTGATAGACCGCACCGCTCGCGCCAAGCATGCCATGATGTGGGCGTTGACTCATGTGGCGAACAAGGGGGACGTCATGACCCTCCTCCATGTCCTCCCTCCCCATTGCTCCGCCTCTGCTCACAGGGAGGAGGAGACTTCCCAACTCGTCAACTCCCTTGGTTCCATGTGCAAGGCGATGCGACCCCAGGTAATGGTGCCGGCCCTCACCGTCACCATCATCATCGGTTACACTGCTGTATCATGTTCTCTAACCTTGAATTCACATCTTTGATACGAAGAAAAGATTGGTACTTCATGATGTCTCTTAACTAAATTCACCGAAGGAAAAGAGTGCAGCTTTATTTTCTTATCTTCCCTCCCTTTTCTCTTTTCCTTTTCCTTCTGCTTTTAGCAAAGCTTTATTGTATCTTCTCCTTTCTTACGCTGTCACTGGTAATTCTCAGGTACGAGTGGAAGCATTGGTTATCCAAGGACCCAAACTGGCCACCGTTCTGGGCCAAGTCAAGAAGCTTGATGCCTCTGTTCTGGTGCTGAAGCAGTCCAAACCATCCTCACTGTGCTGGTGAGTCCATCGTCTCTCTCTCTCTCTCTCTCTCTCTCTCTCTCTCTCTCTCTCTCTAATGATGATGATGGCTTCTCCAAGTGCAGCATGTTCCAGAGCAGCCATGAGGACTTGGTGGAGCAGTGCATCAGCAGAGCCGAGTGCTTGACCATGGCAGTGAGGAAACAGAGCAGTGGAGTGGGTGGATACCTTGTGAGCACCAGATGGCAGAAGAACTTCTGGCTTCTGGCCTAGTCCTGTAGAACACCAAAGCTTGGATGTCTTTCTTCTTCCTGCTGTGTTGATGCTCTCCTGTTGTAAAGAAACATCAAATCTCAACCCCATGTAATACTAATATTATGAATCAGTCAATCTCAACCTTGTCTCGTTCATGATCTCTCTCCATCATGCTTTCTGCATCCTCATTCTCTTCACCAGATAAGCAGAGGAGAAAGAAAGATAAAATCCAAATCTCATATGATACTAACAGTATCAATCAATACTAAACATGTGGCCTTCATTTCGAGTCTTTTGATACTCTCAATCAAGCCATTACAACAGAAAACCTTGATCTCATCCTGAGATGTGGTGCAGAAAGTTGATGTGATGCCAAAAAACCTGAGTGTATGAATCAAAGCTTGGCAATATTGTTGAATTGCATAAAAGAATGAATTAGGTTGCTGGTGAAACAAAAGGCTTTGAAACTTGACCTTCCATATGATAAGGCGATCAAAGGACAAGTAGCTCTACTGGTTGCATGCTCTTTTCTCAAGAACTTTAGGCACAAATAGGAAACTAAATCTGCAAAATTGAGTAGGTGGATCAATCCATATGAGATAGAGAGAGAGAGTAATTACTAACTTGTTGGTAATGGAGAGGATTTCAAAGCCTGCAAAAGATCTGCAATGATCTCTTAGTCCTTTCCATCTTTATCTTTCTCCATTTCCCATGGACCAATGAAACAAAACAATTTGTTTTCCAAGGCATATATGATTACTTCTGATGGATATGAGGACTTCAGCTGGGTCAGAATAACCATTACAACACAGTACTAGTAACAATGCCAAGAAAGCTCCAATGGTAGCAGAAGACTTGAAGCAGAGGTATTAACCAGTCCAAAGCAACAGCATCAAAGCTTCTTCCATTGCAGACTGCAACTATCAGAAAGGAACAGAGACCTCAGAGAGAATCTAATCAATCGAAGGGGAACATATGGGATGGGTTCAGGATTTCTTCATCAAGTCATGATTCAGAAATATTCCACTTATATTCTCTGCCATGACAGATAAAAGCCACATAGAGTTCCAATTGACAAAGAAATCTTGTAATTCACTAACAGCAGAAGGCATTAAAAAGTAATTAATGTACACCACAATTATTTAAGTTAAATAAATCTGGATCCAAAAACATCCAGCAAAATTTACATTTACTCAGAAGAATTTAAAAAATAACACTAGGAAAAAATGTGTCAAAAAAATACAACAATCATCTAAGACTTTCCTCTCTATCCATATGGTTATGGTGACAATTTCTCAGTCTCCCCCACCCCATGCAACCAAGTTGAACCAGTCGATATTGGAATTTGATAACAGGAGTCAATTCTGAGAATTATTTCAATCAATCTGTCAAACAATGACATCTTATTCTAAAATAATGTTGTTTAGGAGCATCCAACCACTATCAGCATCTTTTAAGTGTCAGATGCAAGCCCTTGTATAATTTCTATCTGAATAATATGCCTTGGTCAACATCTCAGGCATAGACATTGCTATTATCCTGCTACGAATCTGAGTCAGAGTCGTCTTATGGCGCGAATATTTCTGAAGAACAAACTTCGCCTTTGAGATAACTACGCATCTAGTGGAGATCTGGTCCATCTGGATCCATCCATGCATCTGGCTTCAATTGTGTTAGCACATAATGACAACTAGCTGAATTTTGTGTGGGAAACTTTAGCATCTCTGATGCATCGTATGGAACAAATGACCAAAAAATAGGAATGTAATTACAACTGAAGATTCTGGCATATAGATGCCATCATTGGTCGATTGCACATAATTCCCACTTGCCCTCACCATCAATAAGTTTCAACTCCATGGAATGGAATGGTATGAGGGCAGGTCGCTATAAAGAAGCATATTAATAAAATAAGGCAAGCAACAGAAGGATGCTGAAGTTCGAGAAGGGAAAAAAAGAGAGAAGGATTCTTCTGTTATTCCTTACCTGCGAGGATGTGATAACTGTTATCCCCATTTCATTTGCTAGTCTGTACAGGTGTTCTTCAACATCAACACTAGTGGCACTGTAAAGGAAAAGAAATTAAGTAATCGATAGTTTCAATCCAACAATTCAATAATCCAGCAAGATTGTTGATTGCATACTTGGTACATTCATCCAGGACACCATATTTAGGGTGGTGGAAGAATAAGCGGGCCTGTAAAGAACAGATAAACAACATAAGATGCAAAAGTTGAGTACATGAGCACACAATTGAATGATGTTGCAATCATAATAACAATATTTATCACGATGGAATTGGTAAATTCACCATTCCAAGCCTCTGTTGTTCTCCTAAAGAGAGAACATCTTCCCAGTTAGCAGTAGCATCCCAGCCTTCTCGTTCAAGAAGATAAACTAATCTAACACCTTCTAGAATAGTTTTTAGGTGAGCATCCAGGAGAAGAGTAGCATCAGAACCACTGCCTACATGAATATAACAGAAGATAAACATGTTCAAATAGATGATTAAAATCATTCACTCAATAAAAAGAAGTTTAAAAAGCATAAATAAGATAAATTAAGAGCACTTATTCTGGTAAAGGTGAGTGAAACCTACATGAAATGACTTAAAAGACATATTATTAAAAGGTCTTGACGTGGCAAGATATACCAAAAGGTCCAAAATAACTGATTCTTTTATGACACAAGCATTCTTAGGTGCTTTTAATTTTCCCTTCTTCTCTATACAACCATGAACTTGGTGTTATTTATGGTTGGCTTAATAGGTTTTCACCAACACATGCAACCCAATTAATTTTAAAGTGTCTCCTTGTAGAAGTAAAATACTTCACTTAAAGCATGTCAAATTTTGACGACAAAATCAATTTCTAACTATACAAAACAAACCCTAAAACTAGTAGTGTAATCTTCTGGAACAAGAACTTTCCTTCTCTAGCCTTCAAGGTATCATGCTCCACCCTCATTCCCCTTTAAGACCAAAAATGGTGATATTATGATTAAATAGCTTGATTCCAATACCACCTCATGGATGACAAATGTAGAAAAAGAAAGAGACCAGGTATAGACTCAATAAGAGTATTTTATATCGGTTAGTTATGCTTCAACTGCATCAACCAAAATGGTAGAAGAGAAAAAATTAGACCAGCTCTCTTCAGCAGAAAAAAAATCATTGAGATAAATACAACAAAAAGATAATAGTTTCATGAAAAAATCAAGTGCAATACACCAAGAACTAAAAGAAATAAAGATTCAAACATCAAATAAGTAAACATACAAGTTAGTATTAGGAAAGGCTTCATGGTTGGCTCACTTCAAACTTGGGCATGGTGTTCAAGCTTGATATGTTAATCAAAAAATCAGATTTGAGCCATAAATACGCAGAATGTGGAATTGTCCTACGCCAGATAGCACATGAGCAGGTACAAGGTGAGTCACTAAGATTACTTCATGAAATGGCTAGTCAATTTATTTTTTAGGTCGTGGTAACCAGTCATTATCACTGGTTAGTTATGCACTTAACTAAGCCAAAAATAACGGTGACAAAATATATGAAAGTTCAAACTTGTTTATGCTCTTTTGTTGTTTATTATTTGGCTGTTTTGAGCTTTTTCTTATACTGATTACAGAGAAGAATTACTAGATATGGCGACAGTGATTTAAATAGGCGCTCGGGTGCTCACCTAAGCACTCGGGCGAGGCGAGGACCGAGGGCCTCGTGTGTGATCCAGGAGGTGCGCTTCAATGAGGTGACACCAGGGCGCTCACCCAAACACAAGTGCTGGGCGCTTCGAGCGTGCACCCAACTCTATTAGGCGAACCAAACCGGTTTAAGGCTGGTTCGGTTCGTAGTTTCTTACCTTAAAATCACGCTTCACACCTACGCAACCCCGAGGAACCCTAGCGCTCCCGCGTTCGCCGTCGACACTTTCTGCTGCTGCCTTCGTTGCAGACGCAACGGACCGAGCCTTCCTCTATTGTCGACGGACGAGTTCGACGACCCCCATAGCTTCCTTCTGCGCTTGCATCCTTCCACTGTCGAGGGAGAGGACTGCGGGTTCCTCCGTCACTGATGAACGCCCTCTGGAGCTTCCGTCGCTGCTGTCCGCAACTTCCGCTGTTGCCGCCACCGCTACTGTATGCAACTTTCGCCACTATCATTGCTACTGTCCGCAGCTTCCACCGTTGTTGTTGCTACCGTTTGCAGCGCTGCTGCTATCTCTGTTACTGTTAACATTTTTTTCTCGCCTCTCTAACTTTAAGTAATATACTGTTAACAGTATATTAAATCGCAACCGCTATTGTCGTTTGCAATGCTGCTATTAACAATTTTTTCTCCCTCCCTAACTTTAAGTAATATACTGTTAACAGTATATTTTAAATTTAATATTATATTTTAATTTAAATAATTATATTTTTAATTTTTTTTATATTTTAATATTTCAGAGAATATTTCTTTCTCCTCTTCTAACTTAAGTAATATACTATTAACAATATATTTTTAATTTAATATTATATTTTTATTTAAATAATTATATTTTTAATTATATTATATTTTTTCATATTTTAATATTTTAGAGCGTCTTGCTTTGCTCGGGTGAGCGCCTAGCGCCTCGGGCGTTTAGGAACCTTGGCGCCTAGCGTTTTTTAAATCACTATATGACGATCAAGATTTAGTGAGATCTTTTTGTTCAATTGATTAAATATTTATAAACCAATTTATAAACTATAAGACATTTAGTGAGATCTGATTCTCAGATTTGGAGGCCAAGAATGTGCGCATATACATGGAGAATAGAAAGATATTATGAATGCTAAAACAGACTAGGAGTCTTCTCCTCATTTCACATAAAAAAATAGTTCATATTCTGCAGTTAAAAATGAGCTAGTGATATTGCAAGATGAATGAAAGAGGCAACCTCATAAGTTCACAAACGCAATCAAGGATTGCCATTTTGTAGCATAAGGGCATGCTGGTACTTGTTCCAGCCAGCATATTTACGCCAGTTAACATGACCTTAGGTTAGCCATCACGGACAAAAAATTAGCCTAGCCTAGGCTTGTTAACGGATGCTTGCCTAGGCACTTGGGTGTGACGAGACGAGGCTAAATTTAAACTAGGCACGGTCTTGGTGTGCGCTTGAACCCAAGTGCTACGTGGCTCAAGGTGAGCATCTGAACGAAATCAGGCTAGTTTGAACCCAACCCAACCTGACCAAATATAACTATATGCTGATTTAACTAAACCAAATCAAGCCTGATCTAAACCAAACTCGATTTGGAAATCTAACCCCCGTGAGCTAACTCCTTGTGGATGAATAGTGGCCAGCAACCAGAAGGCGGCCCTCCAGTGGTGCCTTTGGAGTGTCCCCCCTCTCCTCTCGGTGTCGCTCTCCCTTGCGTCCGGATGCCTGCCATCACCACAGCAGCCACCCTTCTCTCTCTCCCCAGCAGAGGGAGAGAGAACTCTCAGGTTTGGAGACCAAAACTGTGTGCATACACATGACGAATATAAAGATAGACTATGCATATACAGCCACCTCTCCTCTTCTCCCTGGCCCTCTCTACTTCATCCCCCGAGAGCCATCTTCCTCAGGTCCCAAGGCCCCCTCCCTGGCCTTCACTGAAAGCCTCGCTTTGCTTCTCCATTTGATAACCCCTCATGGAATTCTTGAACCTTTAATGTTAATCTTCCTTTGTTTTGTCATTCTTGTTGTTAGATTTGGGCAATGCAATACTTCAATAACTAAATAAATGTAATTCTATGTTCTAGTGATGATATTTTGGAATTTGGATATGAGATGATATGGAATTCATGTATAGTCTAGTTTTTATTTTAATGATTGTCTGTCCTAATTTTTTTTATAATTTTCATATTGCTGAGCGTCTCAATCTGAAGCCTAGTGCCTCAGGTGTTTTGGAGCCTTGGTGCCTTTAACAACCATGACCTTCCTCCGGCAATAAATTGACATACATTCTGACTTGTGTCAGGGAATCCTAACATGCTTAAGCTTTGAAATACCTTAATCATGTGCTTCTAGCCATATCAGATTTGCAATAATTTCTTTAAAATTGTGCAGAGATTCAGTTAAACAAATATGTAAATAGAGTTTGGAGTGGGATGAGATCAGTGACTTACCAGTTCTGACCATAGATATCATCCTCAGCTCTGCTTCTTCACGTGAGAGAGGATATATGACTTGATCCCTCAAAGTCCCTAGGCTTGTATATGGCTGCTGTGGAACATAAAACATGTTGTGGCAGGGCTTCACAAGACTTCCAGATACAATTGGCCATAAGCCTCGAAGAGCTCTAAAAAGGGAACTTTTTCCACTCCCATTTGGACCTTCAAACAACCAGAAAATTCTATTATGTTTATGTTTAAAACAAAATAAAATCAAATTATTTCATACTGACCAGTAACAAGTAGACTTTTCCCATGTACGATATCACAAGTCAATTGCTTAGCCAGTAGCTTTTGTGATGGAGTAATAATATCCACCTTTCTGAATGAAATAATATCTTGAGCATGGGTGTCATTTGCATCAGAGCACAAAGAAGCATCAGGTAAAGAACCCTCTGCATGTTTGAAGAAATTGCCATACAATACTTTTTTTAGCACTCAGCCATGAAACCAAAAGGCAATATTCAGTGATAGCAATTGATCAAAAAGCAAACGAGAAAGTGCTGCTTGAAGAAATGCTCAGTAACACCAGTTTCATGATAGATTTTATTTGTTATTAAAATTGAAGCTGAGGAAAATAAGTTATGTAATCCTAAATAAGGGTGACAAAGCCTACAACCAGAATCTCAACAGTAGAATGATCATATGCCTGTGCACATCACATATGTACCACACTAGTCCAAGTATACATGCATATCCAGACATTTTAAGCTAAACTGTTTAACATAATTTTTACTTTTTTAGCATGACTTTTAGTGCATAATTGCTGAGATTGCAACCGAAAACTGCACATATTACAGCATCCATCAAGGAACAGTAATTACATATTGTCAGTGTCCTTATATACTGATAGAACATTTTAGTGATATCAGTCATTCCCACATTGCATGTCTTTTCCTATAGAACCTACATTGGCATACTTCAAAGTGAAAATATATTTGGACTATGACAGAAAAGAAAATACACCAGTGACCAGACACAGGTTTGCCACATGTCTTTTTGACTATGACAGAAATGAAGATACACTAGACACACGCTTGCCACATACTAGAGATATAAAAAAAAAACAAGAAACCTGCAAATGACTTTTGACCATGACAAAAGAAATATAAGATACACCAGCCACAAAATTGCTGCATAAAGTTAATATAAGTCAGTGCGAGATGTTTTAGAATGCAATGGAAAAAAACTATCGTTATAGTTACTAAGGATGCCTACCGTTTTGGGCAGCATCAAGAAGTTCTTCGAGCTCAAAAATCCTATTTATACCACCAGAGAGCTCAAGAAACTTCTTATGCAACTGAAGAATATCTCCAAATGCTAAAAAGCTTTGCGACACAACAGATGCTAAGAACCGCAGTGCATGTGCAAGCTCCCCTGAGAAAGAAAATATAGTTTTGAATAAGACAAGTTTTTGTTACTCAATTAACTTAAACAACCTCATTTTTTATCAACCTTGAGTGGAAGTCAGTGCACGGTCGCCTTTATGCTCCACAGCGTACAATAGGCTCAGTACCCAAGTTACATTGTGCGGGAGTTGTTTTGTGATGAAATCATCCAGTATACCATATAGCCACTTATTTCTCAGGTGGATCTCACAGTGCTGAAGCAATTCCCTGAATCTTGAATCAAGCATCTGTTTGATAATATTCAGAACATTAGAAACAACACCAAACTAACGCAGTATCATCAGATGTTTAGGTGATAAAAAATAGTTCAAAATGTATCAGATGTGAAGTCCAATACGTCAAAACAAGTAGCGAATTATCGAGTCCTCTGAACATTAAGATATTGAATACTTCAGAATAGTAGTTAATATTTACACAAATTGACTAAACAATATTACAAATATGTTAAATCAAGAATTGCAGTGCTAAAACGGTGATCATACTGTACAGAAAAAAAAAGTACGAACAAATCATGCCAATCAATTGACATAAACCGTGTCACAGAATGTCAATCCTTGTGTTGAAATTTTTTAAAAACTATTCTTTAAAGATGTTTTGTGAAGTTGTCAAAATACAAGACATGGAGATTGACAGAAAACTGAGTGGAGCAACCAATTAGTGCTTCAATCATTTGGTCATACGATAGGAGCTTGACCAAGAAAATGAAATTATTGAACCATGAGATGCTCATTCAAGTTAGTACCTCATGTTTAAATAATAAAATGAAGCAAAGAATGATAATAATATGACTGAAACAGTAAGGATTGGTTAAAACAGAAGACTGGCATCTTGGCATAAAACCAATATGAGAAGTGCAACGAACTTACTGCTTTTTCCCGAGAACCACCACCAAAGAAAGCAATAGATTCAGCATGTGTGCGTAGTCTTGAGTGCATATACCTAGTGAACAGGATCAGAAATGCTTGATAAAGAACTAAAGATTAAAAAGCATATAAACAATTATGCAAGTGGAGAAGAAAAACTACATATATAATAGCTCAAGAGAATAACAAAAAAGCTTACCTAAAAGTCCCCTCAAGCTGTTGTTCCTTACTTGCTAGATCACCAAATTCTGGAGCGACACTTCTCAAAAGGCCCAAACCCAGAAGCATATAAGCATACAATATAGCAACTCCTCTTCTTCCACTTAAGAGTTTCATCCTCCATGTGAACCTGAATATATATAATTTTTTTTGGAAGTAACCAGCAGCAGTCAGGATTTATATCGATGTTTCATATTTAGTAGTTCCTAGAAAGTAATAAAGTTTGTGGCTGCACAATTATACTACAATCAAACACTCACCAAATAATGTCTACAGATGGTTTTACCATACCAGTAACCAATCCTGAGAGGTCAGAAGTCAACTTTTCAACATCATGTGTTATTCTCTGATCTGCATCAATACGTTTACCAGACATGTGGAACACCTGGAATAAAAACCACCTGATGAAATCTCACAGAAGCATCACAATAAGGAAAATACTGTATTAAACTTATCATTTATTACTGAATATTATCAAGTATTAGCAAGAATATGTCAAATGACAGTTTCAGTTCATACACAACAGAATGAGTGAGCATGGAAACTTCTCACCAGTGAACAGAGAGGCAAAATAGTGATGGTTTCCCTATCTGCAGCAGTTGGACTCTTTAAATTGGGACAATAGTCTTTTATAGAGAAACAAAAATGAAGGCACTGAATGAAGAACCATGTATAAGGTTCAGATTTTTTAGGAAGTTCTTGCAACATAAGCATGTTTAATTTCATAGACTGAAGTAACTCAACTAAGGATCGTGCTGCAATCAGGTAACCATCCACCTGTTTAGCTCCTATGTCTTATGGTTAACATTCTCCTAGGTTTTAAATACTCAATTCCATGGTCCATAACAATCGGTATTTACCGGTCCGAGCTATCGAATGGTATTTGATATATTTTTTAATTTTCTTCAGCTAATATCAGGCAATATGGGCTGCTATACCACCTGGTACACCAGTAACATTCCATCTGGTAGATCACTGACATTAGACTGGACCGAGATTTAAAATATTGATATTCTCCTTATTTGATCCTCCTAAATCTTAGCTTCTAATCAACCAATCATCTCCTATCCTAAGTTTTCCTTAATTTCCCGGTTCTCCACAGGAAAGTAGAAGCAATCATCACATCAACTATATTATAACCAAACAAATTCAACAGAAAATCATTGATGTACTTTAGAGCAAGGTTTGCAATACCGTACCGTACCGTACAATATGGGCTGCAGTACTGCTGCAGTGTCGGAACGGTAACATATGGTCCGTGTACCGAAAGTCTGTCGGACCGGTACGTACCGCCCGTACCGGGCGGTACGGACCGGTACGGCAAACCATGCTTTAGAGCATGGTTCGCCTTACCGATCCATACCAAGTGTGCCAGCACATAGTATATGAGGCATACCAATGTATCGCCGATAATGGTTCCCTATCGAACTGGTATGTACCGCTCGTACCGAACGGTATGCCGCGGTATGACGAACCTTGCTTTAGAGTTAAAACTATATTCATCTCAGCACTTTAAAGTTTATCAGTCGGTAAGTTGAGTCTTGAGATTGCTGGTCTCATCCAGCATAAAAACCTTCAATTTCCATTTTGGCATCACATAATGAACACTTAACGTGTGATCCTAAACGAAGCATATCTGCTCCCCAAAAATAACCTGTTTTATTCCAAAGAATTTCTAAAAATAAATTTAAAACCCACGTATGTATTAATGTGTGGGAAGACAAGTTTAGGAAAGGAATTACCTTGTAAAAAGTATTTCTCTTCAGATAATTTTTAAGTAAATGATGAGTTAATCGAATTCGCCATCCAAGGGCAAGCCTGGCAGTGAGATGCCTGAAACAATGAAAGCTAGTTTAGGTACCTATGAGCTTAATTGTGGTACTATATGTTCTGAATTGTTGGAACGTCATAATAGCATATGAATCAAGTCATGGAAAGATAGACTAGCATATAAAACTGTAGTTTATGAATTAATTGAGAGCACATAATGAAAAACTAGACCACAAAATGCGTAAATATCAAATGTAACAACTCAATTATCGATAATGACCAGCTAATGAGTGATCAAAGTAGCAAAGAAAAAGCATACAAATAGATACTACGTGACTGCTTATAGAACTTTTTAAGACAAAGTATATCTAAAATGGAAGGGCAAGAACAATGAATTCCAAGATCAATCAGAATTCCAGAAATGTTTGTTCAACAATCCCTTGCAGACTGAGCAAATAGTTCCTGAACATATGGGAATTCTGATCATATTAAGTTATGTATTCATAAAAGTGTTTCTGATGGGAATTCTGATCACATAACAGCATCCAGCATGAGATTCTCAGATGTACTAGCAGGACATATTCAATGATCCGTATGGGGGAAGAACTCAATAACACTGAACCTTCCACCAAGCGGATTTATGACTTCGTGGAGGAGTTGCCTTTTTTGTTGCAGAAAAACTATAAACCAAAAATAAAACAATCTCTAATGTTTGGAATCAAAGTACCCAAAACAAGGAACTAAGCAAAGATCTTGGGAGCAATAGTTGCTCGGACTTCTTGCGCTGAATGTGCTGGTTGCTCGCTGCCGGTTTTTGGTTCTCCTCCTTCCTTCTCCCTCTCTCTTGGCCGATGGCACCTCTGCTTGGTACTTGCTAATGGCTGCTACTTAGCCGAAGGCTGGAGATGTTTGCGGCCTTCGATGTCTTCGTCGAACGCCGTAGATAAGGAGAAGACCGCATTCTTCTCCTCGTCTGATGCAACGAGTAGAAGAAAAGGAGGTGACGTCACCGAGGCAACATACACCTCCTTTTTTTATTTTTTAATGTTATTTTTTAATATTTTTATATATTAAGTACACCTTGGCATACTGCTCGGTACGGTACAAAATTATGAACCTTGGTGGGAACATCTATCCAACATTAGTATAGGAAAACCCCATTAGTTTTTTTCCTTTTTTATTTTCCAACTAAATGGCTCCAGTTAACTCTAGCCTCTTGGAAGAAATAAAAAAACATTAGCTATAATTATTATCTAAGAAAGCCAAAATCACTCCTATAAGGAACAAAGGTTAATCTTAATTACTGCACAGGAACAAAACTGGAAAATTTAGACAAGTATGCTAGTCTGGATGAGATCACTAGAATATATGGAGCCTTAATACCAGTGCATCAAAAAGATGAACAACACTAAACATAACCACACAATTAGGTGGTGGTATTGTAAGACAAATCAGCTTTGAACTAAAACTTGTCGTTCATGTTGGCATTTGACAAGTTAAAAATTGACCTAGCAACAAACTGGGATTTTGTATATGGTCAGAAGATTTAACTTCTGTTCTTGTGGAACTGTGTTTTCCAACTATTTGACATTCAAATGGCAATTATTCTTTTATATAAATACATTTTCCAAGTAATGGAGAACAAATCATTCAAGAATCATAGATTCTATAATTAGTTTTTGATTTACTGGAAACTATATATGACAAGTAGAATCTGGTAAGGTATTTCCTAAAATTTACCTATGACAACCAAGGCAAAAAAACAGTAACCATTGCCAAGAAAACCTCAAGGCAAAAAATAGTGACTAATCAGTGAACAATGGGTTTGAAGAGGAGAGTGAACATAATTATGCATGCACATGTATACGTGCATGAGAGAGAGAGAGAGAGAGAGAGAGCTGAACAATATAACCATCTTAATGCGCAACTTAGTCATAGGTTATTCTAGGTACCTGTTAAGGTGTTGCTTGTATTTCATGATGGATAAGAGCAGGAAGATGCTCACAATTCATGCAACAACATGCATATTGAAGGAATATTCCTAGTGTAGCAAGTGTCCAAGGCAATTTAAACTTCAAAAATTAAACCACAACAACAATCCAGCCTTGTTGGCATTGTTCATCGTATGCTCTAAACCAAATGATAATGCATATATCATAGTATGAGGTGACAAAATTAGCATTTTTATTTCCTGTATCTGCCAAAGAAACATGGTTGAGAGACCTGAGACTTGTGTTAGCTTCCGAATTTGATTGATAACAAAGTAGAATAGTTTAATTATCTTCCTCTCTCCCTCATGATTTTCATTTTTTATTTTTTTTCTTGGAGGCACTACTTCCCTTCAAAGAGGAAAAGCCCCAGCTAACAGAAGACAAATCCTAACACAGTACTAAACATGCACCAAAAAGTTTCCATTAGCAACAAGGTGGTTTAAAGCCATTATCAGCAAAAGCTGACCATGATAATTTTGGGTACTTCAGATGCCATGCCAATGAGTTCTCTAAACCAAACTGGCCAACAAGAAAAGCAAGGGGATGATGAGGCAAAGGTTTTACAGAAAATCAAATTCAGCAGATTGATGGTTTACTAATTAAATTAGTTTTCACGATTAAAATGTTTGTACCATGAAATAGTGAAAATTATACCTTAATGTAGGTGCAACGAAAGAGTTTGCAGCACTTTGAAGAACACTTAAACCAGTCAACCGAATAAAGGCTGCTTTGTCCTGTTCCAAGACATACTTTACACTGGTCCCTGTAAAGTCAACCAAACACATGAAGAAAACTGATTCACTTGTGTATCTAGGACCTAAATCTTACATATCACGATACCATTCAAGGAAGCAATGCGATCTGAGATCCATGTTCTAGACACCACAAGTAAAGCAACTGCAAACAACTTCATGCCTTGTCGATCAAATAGGGAGGGAACCTGAAAAAAAATGTCCACACAGGAAAATAACTTACTTATGAGGTTCACTTCACGTCTTTTACTAAAAACATGACCAGTCTAAATGATGTTTGCCAAATTCATTTTGAGTTAAGCTGCCCTCAGAAGAACTGTCAGCTTAGTTTTCCTGAAAACTTCTTAACTAATTACCAATGCAAAGAGTTTGTCTGACTCTGACCTATAGATATGAAAGAAGATAAAACAAGACATAAATAACCTACCAGTACATTGAACATTGCAGCAACTCTATGCGGCAGCACCCTTGGAGGCTTCTGCAGTTGCGGAGCAATTGGAAGTGGAACTTTCTTGTCAATTTCAGGTGATGATATAATGACCCTACTAGAATACGGATGAACCTCTGATTCTGATAATGTGTTTCCCTGAGAAGAAAAAGGCATCAGAAGTTTTTTTTAATAGCATGTAGTAAATAATGAAGGTGTCCTGCTTAAACCTTTCCACTGGTAGAAAAAGCTCTTTGAACAGCTAGTGCATCATTTTGACGATTAATTTCTGATGAATTTGGTAAATCAGGAATTGTCTCAGAAGGAAGGGATTGAGTTTTTCTGAAAATTGAAAAAGTCTGAAGTCAACAATCAGTTATCTGTGCAGAACCAAAGAGATTAAGACAATTATCGAATGTAACCTCTTAAACTGGACTCTCCATCCTCCTTCCCCATCTAATGACAAAACTATGTCATGGAATGCAACTAAAGCAGGTCGGTGTGAGATTGTTATGCATGATGTCCCCATTGCTCGAACCATCTTACAGAAGCGTTCCTCCATATTGGTTGTGACTGCACTTGTACACTCATCAAGAATAGCAAACTTAGGCTTATGATAAAACAACCTAGCCATTCCAAGCCTCTGTTGTTCACCAAGGGAAAGCTCATCTCCCCAGTTAATTTCCCTTTCCAATGGGTAACGATCCAGCAAATACTCAAGATCAACCTGACAAATGAAAATTTATCTTTCTATTTTACATTAAACAACTTCAAAAACAGTACTTTGTGAATCAATAAGGTCAGAATAATAGGCATTTAAGCAACTGAAAAATAAAGGAAAATTGTGAGGGCAAGGATAGGAAAATCAAATAGTCCAAGAAAAATGTTACATTTCTTAAGAGCTCAACCATTCCCTCATGGGTGAGTGGTTCAGTCTCTTGATCCACTGTAAGGGGATAAATCAACTGGTCACGAAGTGTCCCAACTGCTGTATATGGCCGTTGTGGCACATAGAAAATCTCCTTATTGAGATCTGAACCAATCCCAGGTTTTACAATGTAGCCAGATACCAGTGGCCAAAGACCTCCAAGAACCCGGAAGAGAGAACTTTTCCCACTTCCATTGGGACCTATAAAAGCAAATCTCAATTATAAGAGACAAAATGCACCATTAAGCACACTTCAAGAACATTAAAATATTATCTGAATTAAGCAAATAGAAGAAGCACTGCCTGCTAAACTCCAGCTAGTTGTTTTTGTTTTTGTAACTAACAAATGTTGGATTTCACTTGTTCCAAAAGCCAATGCTGACATCAACAAATATTTCAAAAATGTGTAAAGTACTAACAATGCTATTTCTCCATTGATAGATTCTAGATATAAAACTCAATGGTTGCAGTTTTTTATACCAACCATAAAGAGCAGAAAAGATATTAATTAGCTGATAAAAGGAATCATAATTTGTAAAAGCAAAATCAGTTCAGATTTCAGAAATTACTCTAAGAAAGCAAATCCATGAATCAGACCAGAAACTAATTTAAGAAAGCTGCTTCCCTCAAAGAAAATGGCACAAATGTAAAATCAAACATAACAAGATTTTCACAGGGTGTTCAAAATTATTTTTTATATTTTAAAATTAAGAAATCTTGTTTAATTTTTGTTTTCAAAACATCTAGGCCACTGCTTAACTGTCAGTTCTAGAAACAAAAATAAAAAAAGGTGTAAGCCTAGCATCACATGAGGGATTATAAAGGTGTAGGTCGATGGACAGTGGAGGACAATACATGGTTCAACAAAAAAGAGAGCTTAAGGTAATGGCAACATGCTATTCAAGTGGAGGACCTCGCTCAATGAGACATCTTAGATGAGGTTAAAAGAGAGGGGGAAGGAAAATAATCCAAATAATTGAGTAAATAGTCACGTGATCTCAGAGATAAGATGAACTTCCAATTTCCATCAGAAATACGGCAAGTAGGTACCAAATATGAATGGACCTGCTTTAACAATCAGAAGTAGGAAGCTTCTACTCCGTAAAAATTTAAAAATTCTAGATACGCTTTTCGATAAGTTTCCATTTTTTGTGAAAAGTTTTGGAAGAAAATAAGCATATCAAGCCCTCTGATTGTCACAAAACTTGTCCTTTTGAATGTTAGATTTTTGTTACATCCTTCTGAGAAGTAATACGAGTAGAAATATATTTTCTTTGGATTCACAAAGAAAACCATAAAATTATGTAAAAGCTTCTAAATAAGCTCTACTAATATTTTCATTACAATAGAGGCAAATGTTTATGTTCCGGTGGTATTTCTCTAACAGTAAACAGAGAGCCTCCATGGTACAGGTGTCATGCAAATGAATCCGCTTATAATAAGATTCTTACATGTAAAGAGTACACAAGGCTAAATGACCAAGTTCACAAAAAAAATCCAAATCTCTGAGTGAAAACTAATGTTACAAATTGACCTCAGGAACTACATAAATAGCAGGATAATGATAAATTAGATCCCTACTTTCTTCTATAGAATTATAGACAATATGAATAGTTTGTACTTTTGTAAGAAAACATGCTGTCCATGACAGACTAAATAGAGGCCTCAATCTAACAGAGACAAGGAAAATCTGAGATTACACATTAACAAGGAATTAAAGAAAAGAAATTTACCAGTGATTAGTAGATTAGAGCCTGATTCTACCCTGAGACTCAAATCATCCACCAATACATTTCCGGTCGGTGTAACTACCTGTAAGCATCTAAAGTTAGTATCACAAGGATAAGAAACAGACAAAAGTTCCAAATAATTTGAACTACCTGAACACCTGCAAACTCAATATAATTTGCTTCACTGATATAATTTCCACTGGTACTTCTCTGAATCACTGATCTGTTGTAGGTAGCAGATAGCTCCTTTGCAACAATCATTAGATCATGAATGCGGTCAGCATAACCACTGTATAAGAATTACAGTTGGAAGAATTATCTCCAGGAAATGGTCAACTAAATGAATTGATATTTCATGTCTCTTATTAACTAATTCAAGAACAACATCTAGAGAATATGACAAATTGGACTCATCACTACTTGCTTATCGACTCATTGAAGTAGTCATAAAGTAAAAGGAAGTCTACAATGCAAACTAGTACTCTCTCTGGGCGATCACCCCATTTGTCATTCTGAAAACAAAATGCAAAATGCATAGAAAAAATGAATTTGAAGACCATAAACTGTAACAAACACAAAAGCTGATTAATTCATTACAGCATCCAGCAGCCAAACTGAGCAATGATTTTACAAGAAAAACAAGTTTCAACCACATTTAGTTCATGAACCAAGAAGACATACAAATGCAAGGAGCCTTCCAATTCAATGACGAGGATTATGTAAACCTAAAAAATTTCTTAGGCATTAATAGACAAATAATCAAACTTCAGTACAACATAAGATTCCACAGCTAAAGCCAAAATAAAGCTTGCTGGATTACTGTTTCTGATCCCTTTAAGGCACTGCAGCATTAGTCACAAAGAAAATGTGTTGACCTGCCCATTCTACAACAGATGACAGTATCTTTTCCTTTGTGTGCAAACAACTGTGGCCTTAATCACAAACCTCAACTATGAAATTGACCTCTCATCTTTTTCTTGGCTTTATCATTTATACCACTACATGACTTTCTTTTGTGCCTGTCTACTGGTTGATGGTTTAATTTGTTGGGTACTGATATACACAATTCTTTGGTCTCAATGCTCAAATAAGGTGTATACAAAGCCAAGTACTGCTTCATAAACTAGCTATAAAGATGATCCAGTGGAATATAGTAAGAAAAATGATATATATAAGTTGTCTGTGATTACAAGAACATGAATAAAAGAAGCACACAAAATTAACCCTACGATAACCATTGAAGATTAATTACCCACAGACAAATGCAAAGGCGTAGTGTAAAGAAATATCAAAATGAGAAATAGTAAGGCAAATAAGAACAGTTTCTTTGCTTGGTGAAATGCCACAATTACGACAATGAAGAAAAGAAATGAAATTACTCTAATGATAACCATGAACATTCAATTGCCTATATATTAGGACGTCCAAAAGTAGATAATCAAAATATAGAGTATAAACTAGGAAGAATGATAAAAAAAATAAGGTATCAATATCAGTTCTAACGGGTGAAGAGCAAGTAATACAATGGTGCAAAATTGGAGGTAGAAATACTTAGATGCCTTTGTCTGGACAAAATTGCATAGCATGACATGTATATACAAAATTGGAGAGAGTATAATTGCAGTGGCTGGTGCTTTTTTGTTTGCAAAATGTTTTGCTTGTTAAGATGTATATTTCTTTCGACTTCAATTTTCTTCAGGACAGAATATTTCCATCGATGACAAGTGTAAACTAATTAAATATCCATCCGCCTTGCTGCATCTTTTTCTTTTGTGTCACAGATTCGTTCTCCAACATGCATATCTTATTCCATTAATATCTTAAAGTGAGATATTTTAACTAAGATTTTCCCATAATCTTTTTATAGAAATTCCTCTCAGTATATTCAAAGGATTGAACAAACCAAAATACCATTCTCTAAAGAAGATATTTTAAATAAGCTTTTTCAAAAATGGATTTCACATGTACTAGTACCAAGCTATATATGCTGATACTGGTACTTGACCAAACTAGTAAATACCGGTCGGACAAGCATTGGAAAAATGTACAACTTTTGCATCTTTCATTTTCTTATTGCAACTATTTTAGTTAGTGTGCTGATTTCTTGGTGAAGTTTGAGTTAACATTAATCATCGACCCGCTGTAACTGGACACGATATATTCAGCAAAAGGGCTCAGTCTTTGATCATTGGAAAGTAGCAATAAAGAAGATCATGAATATAGAATCAGTTTTACAAAAACTAGTTAAAATTATGACTCTTCAAGACGTTGTTAAGGGCAAAGTGTACAATAATAACTACAAAAATTCAGGCAATGTGAGGAGAAAAATTCTATAGCACTGGGAAATATATACATTTGGTTTGCTAATCACTTTGACAAAGCCAGCAAATTCATGCAAGTAGAGCACAAACAAAGATTCATTCCCTAAAATAAAAATGACATTTTGAAAAGTTCAAATGATAAACTAGATAAAATATCTGCAGAAGGAATGACATGATCCCCTTTAGTATTAATAAAATTCATCATGCAATAACCTGAGACGGTTAAGTCGTGCAGAACTGATGGAGAGAGTCCCGAGTGATTGGAAAAGCGACATAATCACACTTGTATGATAACGAAGATTACTCAACATTTCTGCTCTTCCTAGTGTTGAAGCATCAGGTCTAAGATTACCAGCAAAAAAGGGCTCAATAATCAGGACCACCCCAACAGTAGCACCAAGGTACTTCAAGAGGAAGTCTTGAATCATTCCAAACCACCAACGATCATGAAGCACAATGTTCAAGTGTTTTATAAGCTTCTCAAACTTCTCTTTGATATGAGATGCTTCTCTATTCTCTCCTCCATAGAACGCTACACTTTCAGCATGAGTCCTTAATCGTGAGTGAAGCTGCCGATAATCCCCTTCCAACTGTTGCTCCTTGGACATTAGTTTTCCAAATGCAGGAGAGAAGTTCCTAATAGCTGCACCTGCCCCTAAGACATATGCCTGAAAACAAAGAAATAAATCAAAATTTTGAAATGTGAAGAGAAATAATTCATCAAACAATTGCATGAAAGAAATAGATATTACCAGTATCCAGAGCACATATTTTGGACTTGCATATGAACAAAGGCGCCAGGTATATATCAGACCATCAGCAACTGCAGTGAGATCCTCTTGTATAAGGTCACTCAATTCAGAACAAAACTTTGGTATATCACTAGCAATCCGCTGCTCTGGGCTGCTGGTTCGATTACTGACATGTGAGATTTTATAGTACACCATATTCTGCATTCCACAGCCAAATCAAGAAGAAAAATATTATAACATAAAAGTAAGTGCATCTTCAACAAGAAAGCTATGCATCTAATTTCATGTAGACACAGAAAAAACAAAGAAAATTATGCCCAAAAACCAATTTAGATATCCTGTCTGACATTATTGTCATACTCCACCAAAAAATAGAGAAGCTAAAACGTTCCAAATAGCATTCAGTTATAGCATATAAGGCAAAGGAACTGTGTAAATGTTATGCACTAAAACGGCAACTATTCACTGACTTAACATAAAAAGAGATAGTAATCCTCCGAAGGAAATGTAGAGAACCATGATAATGTTAAAATGGAATGAAGTCCCAACATTAAACAGCATAGATCAGAAGTTGCTTTCCTGTCTGACAACATTTCCCCATACAATGATTTTTTAAAATATATTTGCCCATTATACAAACACTAGAAAAAGCATAAACCAAGGTTCACAAATTCGTGTATTGGTTCTGTACCAGTTAAGATTCAGATTGGTCACTGGTACATACCGAGTTTCATTAAAGCCTGAAAAAAACTGACAAAACAAAAAAGAAGAAACTTCCCAGTACAGGTCCAGAATTGTCCTGTATCAGGCGATACAGGATCTGTGCCAGGTGTACCATCCAGTTTACCCTGATCTCCTGGTCTGCAGATCTTACAATATTTTAGATACTACAGACAATGGAGTTCATAAGGTGAAGGTGCTTCAAGACTAATATCATGACATTTGAAAATGTGTCAAATAACTATCTTTGAGTCCAAAACTGGATGCTTATCAAACTTTATGTTCTGACAATCAAGCAGGTCAAAAATTTCTGGCTAGTTCAACATATGTATTGTATCACACTGATATCCTAATTCCTAGTGCCGACAACCTGATTACTAGTCCAAGTTTTGTAAATGCCTTCCAACAAAAAGATACTCCTTAAGTATTTATATTATCAACTCAGATATGCCCTTCATTTTTTCAGTTTTGAACAATCCTCACAGATTAAACTTGGAGCTCTTCATATTGGTTCCACTCCAAATTGCAAGGCTAACATTAACAGATGAAGATTAGTAAGTACTAAGTAATGCTTCAAAAACTTGAGATCCATTCAAGTAAATATATTTTATGTGAACTTGAATGAGGAATCAAAGAATAATCAAACTTGCTCTAAAAGCCACATCAATTAGAAAGAAGCTGAGCTTACCTCGAAATAATCAGAATGTATCAGTTCTGTCAAAATTTTTCTGAATCGTAGACCTAAGGCTCCTGTCAAGTACTTTGAAGTTGAATACAAAGTGGACTGGAGAAAACATAAAAGAAGATTCTCAGCAATTAAGCGCAAAAAAGTGGGTACTCGCTGAAGAAAAGCAGCCCGAAATAAAAATCCCTGAACTTTTGCCAATCTGTGACTCAAGGCAGTTCTCAATACCTGCAATATGTTTTGACTTGATGCTTAGTAGTTTAGACTTTAGAGAAATATATCCTACATAACCAAGAATATTTCATATATACATGAAAACAATGGAAATCAATTAAACATAAAAAATTGAGTCTGCATAAAATGTTACCGATAAAATGTATGTCTAATTCTTCAACACATACAAAAAAGAAATTAGAGGATGTGTATAATTCAGAATGCCAAAGCTGGGACTATAATGTTTTTCTAGCTTCTTTCCAAAGTAAAAGGTTTTCCTTTTTAGTTGAAAGTTAAACCTATATGAATATTTATTTTATCCAAATACCATTTCTCACTGTTTCTTAAGAGCAAGAAAGCATATTGAAGTAAATGAATCTAATATAAGATTGAAAAGAAACAAGTCATTTTTTCAATAGAAAACACTTAAGGGAATTAATTAAGCATGCTTTGTTTCTTTCTGCTACATGAAAAGTCAGCAAAAATGTTTCAGTATCTAATTCTTTAAGGCATACACCATGTGGTTAGAGGACTAAACAAGTATTTAAAATGCTAGTAGCTGGGACTAAGAAACCTTCTACTGCTTCTTACCCATGCTAAAAGACTTGACTTTATCAATGACAAATTTTATGGGATAAAAAAATATTTCACTGTCTGATTTGTGTTAAATAAATGTTTAGAGAATGGAAAAAAAATAAGATGAATATCAGGAAGAAAAAGAACCATGTGTAGATGCACCCACATCACTGGTATCATGCAACAACTATCATATCTATTTATTAAACTTTGATCATCCCAGCAACATTTTGGTATGCTTAATACGTGCCAATTTGTGATGTAAATCCACAAAAGCATTAGACAAGTTTCCACGTCAGAGATACTTATAAACATGCAAACACATACTAAGTGATGGAGGAGAGAATCAAGTTAACACAGTGTATGGAAATCTGCACAAAAAAAGGTGAAAAAAATTCACCGCAGTAGTCACTAAGAACAGAAGGTTGCGCATGCCATTTGGCCCCATCCTGGAGAGCAAGATTGCAGCTAAAGCATGTAAAGATCTCATTCCTTTTCTTCTCTGCCTTGCTGGTCGAACCAGCTGATCATTAACACTATTTTGGCTCAAACTCTCTTCGTTTTCTCTAGAAGTGATGTGATTTAAAGAATCATGTGAATTAAGAGATATTCGACTCTGACGTGATTGCATGTATGCAAAAGTTCCACCAGCCACTAACACAGCTGAGACTGCTGCCAACGTTCTCCTGCTTGTTACCGCATCAAAACATTGGTAAGGATTTTCATACAGAGTCTTTATGACAGACAATGTTAAAACAAATACATATCGCCTTCTGGATTAGGTTATCCATCACATAATTAAAAAAATGTTGAAAGGTATGGACGATAATGATGGGATTTATATACTAGCATGAGAGTCTGAGGAAGATAACAGTAAATAAGTAGAGTCCATTTGGTGTAAGAATAATTGTAAAGGGAAAAGTTTGAACTTTGAAGTCATCTAATAGCAAAAAAAAAAATAATTAAATTGTTTTTTTCTTGTTAGAGAATATGAAAAAGAAAAGATAAAATGAACAAAAGTTTATAAAGAAAAAAAAGAAGAAATTTTAATTTCTTACCTCAGTATGAAGACAATAGCTAGTTCTATATTTGTTCAAATTGACTATGCTATTGGCTACACCATTTTTGACTGAATATGGTTGTTTTGTGAACTACTACAGGATGTTCATTCTTGAACCAATTGGCACCGTAGAAATTGTTAAATACAAGTTGGATGTCAAAAAATTAGGAATCATTGACTGCATCTTCAAGGTTCACTATGATATAGGCACTAAAAGAAAGGCTTGTTCAAACAAAATCAGGTGTTTTCAGTCATATTTATACTGAACATTGCAATTAAGATGCTATAAGTTTTCTTGAACCCTTCTCTAACTTCCATCCAAATCTCTATAGATATCAAGGACTGCTCTGACCCTTCAATACAAAGTACCAGGATAACACATTGAACCATCACCAATGGTGGACATTACTTCCATTTCCCAATTAATCTATCTTCCACTTTTTTGTGCTAGAGCAATACTTCACAAGATGACAAGACTCTGTGCGTTAACAGCAGATATGAAATTCTTTTTCAGCCTTTTTTGCTGTTGAAATTGGTAAATTCTCCATGTCAGTTTTAATTAAAGCACCTTCTCTACAAGCTGTATTACTACCACAACTGATGGCCAAAACTAGATTTCAATGGAAGAAGAATAACTGGAACAGAGCAATCAATACCAAAAAGAGGGCAAATTACAGTTTACCCAACTATGGTTTGACATATTAACTTACCCTCCAGTGATTTAAACGTTACTTGACCCATCTTTGATTTTCTCCATTTTAGCCATTGACACTACCTCACGCTAAACTCTGTTTTGACATGGTAGTGATGAAACACTCACAAGACAATGATGTGGTGCTAATGTGCCACTATTCTGCAGCATGGATGCCATACACATGGGCCCTCCAAACTCATTAGCACTATGACGATGCTTCTGTAAGAGAAAAACAAAGGGCATATGGCAACCCTTGTGCCCACATACAATCAAATATAAGTATTAACCCATTAGGCAACCCTTGTTCCCACATACGATCAAATATAAGTATTAATTCGTTAGGCAACCCTTGTGCCCACATACGATCAAATATCCTATGGAACATGAACAGTACCTATCAGCAGTTATCAATATGAACACTATGTTCTTTGAACCTTTTAACTTTTTCTTCATCCTCTCTGACCTATTAGCATTTACCATAAGAGCCACAATCCTGACGATAGCAAATATTGAGCAATTAGAAAGTTGCATCAACCAGTAAGGATTGTGTTCTTCATTAGAAAGTTAAATAAACCAGCATCAATTAGAAAGTTGCATCAACCAGCAAAGATTGAGCAATTAACCTGACACACGAATATCAAATGTAACAGAAATAAATAGAACATAACAACATTATTGTGTTCCTCATCAAGGCTCTCTTGTCGTCTTCTCCCATTTCTTATGAACTACAAAACTGAATGATTCGCTGAGATTCAACTAAAACAGAGTATTTCAATAAAGGCAGTATGTTAAATGTGAACCAGAGTATTTGACTTAAGCATCTCAACCAATAAATGAACAAAACCATTGACCAAGAAACAGACAACATACACAAGTCAAATGGCTCAACATACCTCCTAGATACCAGAAGGCTTCGCCCATGTTCAGTTAATGGCAATAACTGCAGTGAAGGCATTTTCTGATGATTTCTGAAACCAATCTAAGTGAAGAATTTCTTCTCAAGTGAAGGTGAAATGCAATGATACAGAAATCACTTGTCTGCCAACCCAAGGTTTAAATAGCTGCATCAATAAAGAGAAAAATATATACATATCCTTTCCTAGCAAATCAATTGCATGTTCAATACAAAAGGAAACTTTGTCTGGAAAACAATTACATAACAACATCTTGTATTTATTTTTCTGTAGACAGGCATAAGGTTCTCCATGTTAGTAAAACATCTATTGCCAAAAACTTCAGAGAACAATTTCCAAAATAAGAACATTTTATAGAGAAAAAGGGATACCAACCTTCATCCAAAGCCTAAATACCTATAAATTATTACTTAGATATTATGTAATATAAAAAATTAGAGGAAAGCATCAAATGAAGCTTCCGCCTAATAATCTTTGCGCTTCATATGGACTATGCAAAAATGCCAAGTACTTAAATTTTATCATGATAAAGACTTCCATCATTCTGGTGTCCAGGGATGGTTGGATGAAGGCAATGCTACCCAGCATTTCAATATGTAATTTCATCAGTTGAAACTCATAGGCAATAATTCAGATTTCAGAGATCAAAATGAAGCAATTTTACAGCTGTGCCCACATGCTTTATCATCAGAAAACCTACATTCAGAAGTTAGCTCTCAGCAAAGGGCTGCCCTCTATAAAGGAAAACAGCAAGGATAATAAAGCACATGAGCATTAATAAAATTTCATGCTCGTTCTTTTATTCTTCATAGAAGTTCCTACTTTAGGAAACTAACATTTGATAGGAATCATTGAAAAGTTACCAAAACAAGCTAAGATATGAATACCTTTATTATCTTAGTTAGTTGACTAGTGAGGCAAGTGAAATTTTGGCTAGTCACAGCATAATTCCTTGTGTCTTTTCCAATTATATTCTTGATATCACTGGCTTTTGCATTAATTTTTTATCCGCGTCATTTGTTATATCATACTACAAGAAGCCTGTCAGATGCATGTCATCTGACAAGAGTCAACACAAGCAAAAATCAAGACAAATAAATTAAGCAAACAAGAAGAAATTAAGCAGCAACCTATAAAATCAAAATGGAATAGATGTCAATGCCCTAAGTAATATTTAGAGCTAGTGAAACAATACTAATCAAGACCAAAATAACAATTCAATAGTTCCAACAATGTGTCAACCTATACAACCATCACCGCAAGCTTCAGAGCACAAGTTTGGTGATCAACTTCACATGGGTTGACATGTACAATTAGCTTATTGTTCACTCCTACCAGCATAAAACGATGCATGCAACTGAAGCACCACATGCTTAATCATGATACGGAAACACTTGCTTGTAAACTGTGATTGGTCAAATTGCATTTACAATAAATTACACTCCCCTCAAATTTAAGGATAAAACAAGAAAAATCATCTATGATGATACAGACATGTTTATAGGAGATCTATAGATGTTGTGACAAGACGACATGACAATTAGAACTAATGGCGTGTCGAGAGGAAGAGGGAGGCATACTAAAAGAATGATTTGAATGCTTTTGATTTAACTAGAGATATTGCTCAATGGCTGAGAAGGCCCATGTAGCTGTACCATCTTTCGCTACAGTTAGTTTTGGTTAGAATCTATCATTAGCTCGGTATACATACAAAAGCTTCCTAATTTTCGTCAAAATGAGAGAAACGGAAGTTCTCTCTTTTTTCCCCTTTACACTTCAACTCGAGTGGAAGCCTTAGATTCTGAAGCAGTCGACCACTTCGTGTACAAGATGAGCGAGACCAGAGCAAGGGAAGCTTCAGAAGATGACACTAGTACATATAAACTCCAACTTTTAGATAGATGAAGAATCTCACCTCACACAAAAGGCAGGTGACTCAAACTACGGCCAAGAGGGCACCTACTACTCAATATCCATCAAATCCCGATCTCTCACAACCATCCTCCAAAGAATCGGCGAAATGATCAACGCCGATAATCCAAGAACCAATCTTTCCTTCACCTAGTGCTAAATTCAATCAACAAACTGCCGAAACGAAACCACACGCATAACCCAATCCAACAAGAATCGCAGAAAGACACAGAAAACCCAGAATTTTAACCCAAGATTTAAGAAAGAAGCCGGGGTTCTTGCACTTACTCCGAGAAGGTTGGGAAAACGAATAAGTACGGAAATAAATCACAAGAATCGACAGCGAGAATGCCCCTCAAAAAAGATTCATCCTTAGGGCTCGCGGAAGCGAGGGGAGAGACGGGTCGGAACCAATTAAGAAAGACTGCGGAGACCGGTGGGTATTTATATAGTCTCCTAAGCTTTTACATGTAAGACCCTAACATCTTTGTCTTTTAAAACAAAAGACCTTTAGTTCTTGCTTGCAGGAAATTCCTATACATTTTTATCCATATATATTAGTCCTTCGCATTAAGTCAATTAGGAATTTTCTACCAAAACAAATTTCACATAACCAATTATATTTATTTTTATACTCCTATCCTCTCTAAATAGGGTTTTCTTGGTCTTTTTGGTTATATCATAAATCGGCTTCAACTGGATACAACTACAAAAAAACAAATTCTATGAGTTAATTAAGATTGACTGTAACTGAAGACCACGAAAGAATTAAAAAGCATGATTTTTGTTTGCATGAGAAAACGAGACACAAATTTAAAAGATTATAAGGACTAAAACGAAAAAAAACGCGTGTTCTGAAGATGTGACGTCATGCTGGACGTATCGTGGCCTAAAAGCAAACCTTTTCTACCCAACTTGCTTACCCAGAGACATACCCTTTCTGTCATTGGAAGAACCTGCGGAGCTCATTGGTCGTTCTGTGAGCAAGGCCAAGTCAGAGGTCGTCCTTATTGTTGACCGCGGCAGGAGACCTTTTGGCGTGGCCTTATGAAAGTACCAATAACCTGCACGAGCGACCGGCCTTGTTATTACATCCAACGATAGGGACCATCACCGGCCTTGTTATTGTGGCCTAATCAAAATGTGAAGTCAAAGTAATCTTTTGAGATTTTAAAGAGAGTTGTACCACTCTACTCTGACAATGTTGATGTGTAAGCTGCATGGAACATGCTTTGCTAGAACTAGGAAGCTTAAGCTTCATTACATCTGACTTCCTCCGACTGGTCCCAAAGGTCAAAAGGAAACGGGTTGCTACTGTCCTGGAAGTTTCAGCACATGAATATGCGTACTATGAGAATGTGGTTCACATGATTACCAACAGCAAACAGTTCTTCCAAAAGACCGGTACAGATTCCATCATAAATTACCACTTAGTTGTTAATGTTCATACCGGACTGCAATGATGGATCAAAACATGTTCATGCTATCACATTTGAATTCATTTACTAAACACTTGAACTACAATTTAGCTGTAATCACATCCGATCCTGCCAGAAATTTCCACTCTATGACAGTCTTACTTTTGTTTAAGCCATGACACAGTATTGGGAATACATCAGAGAACCAATCAACTTAAAATTCTTTGTTCAAACAATACATCAGCACACTTACATTGCATGTGCACTTAAACATGATAATACATCAACGTAGCTATTTATAATATTTGTATTCAACACCTAAGGCTTGGAAGTACTAAAAGTTATTTCAAATAGAAATGAAGGTATAACCAAGTTTAGAGAGCATGAAGTATCTGATTACCAGGAATGCTCAATAGCAAGCCGTCAGTCTGTGTGGGACAGTTATTGTTGATTAAGATTTTGGCAAAATATAAGCTAATTGGAATCAAGTTAGCAACAGAATGCATGCAACCTTTTCTTGAAAGGAAGACACCAATATGGCTATCTAGCCTTGTTGCTTACAAGGATTTACAAAAATTTCATCAAGAAGAAAAGAAATATAGGTGGGAGAAATAGGCGCACACACACAATCAACATGCTTTATACACAAAATCCCTATTCACAATCTGTGACAAAAATAGCAGACTTAAGTTACCTAATTCTGTACAAAGGTTACCATCTTATTCTGTTGCATAAAGAACCACTCTTGAAGAGCTATACACCTGCATCATCCAAGAAACATTAACCATTATTTGATGTAACTTAACTTACTACTGACTCAGTTTAAGGATGCTTACAATGTACTAGCCACTATGTACAGGCAATTGTAACCAGCGCCACACATGGCTATCTGATTTATGGGGCACAAGCTTGAGCAGAAAATGGGCCAACAATTCTAGTGATACCATATATATGGATGATGCATCTTAACTGCCAAGGAAAAAAAGATGGCAATCTTATGATTGAGACGAACCCAGATATTTCTCCACGGATTCCTTTTTGTGCTCAGGATCCATGCTGCAATATGCAAACTAATCATTAACAAAGATTTTCAAGCTTCTGCATAATAAAATACTTCCTGTCAATAAAAGAAATGAAAAGAGTACAAATTTTAGTTTATTGAAGTCTCTAGATGCAAAAACATAAAGCCTAATTCTTCCATACCTATCAAATAAAAATATAACTAGAGTGCAGAGTTCTTTTTTTGTACTTGGGATATAACTACAATTTTTTTTTTTTAGTTAGTCATCTACAAAGATTGTCAGTGTGCTTCAGCTAAAACATCTCAGGTAAATGACCACCCAAATCTAATTCCAGGGACTGTCAAATTCAAGGTAACTAGAACTCATAACAGATCATTACTAATGTCAAATGCATTGAACATCAGGTACTGTCTAATAGAAGAATATTAATACTTTAAACTAAGGAATGTTGTATTATGTACCGAACCCGTATCGAGAATATTAATACTTTGAACCAAGGAATGCCGTATCGCATACCCTAGCCGGACCAATATGTACCAGCCGATTATTGTTGATCGCTACAAAAATCAATTTGACCGATACGTACGTATGGACCGATATGTAGCCAGACTAAAATGCATGAATAGCTGATTGCTAAACAAATCAATTTGACAGGTACACTAAGTATCAGGTCAAACTCTTAGAAATGAGATTATCATTAATGAAGCAAGAAAACATTTTGGACTTTAAGCAAGAGATCATTCTTTGCCGACATATAAACCAGTTGACTGCCACAATCTAAAGGCCAATTGCTTCCATCTTTTCCTCCTCAATGGACCCCAGTTAGAGCCTTAATATACATATTATTTAAATATCAGCAACCATTTAATTCTGAATTTAAGATATTCTTAGTATTTATCTTTCTAATTCATTGACTTCTAAGTAGTGTGTTGGGTTTAACTTTTAGGGTTGCCAATTAATTGTGAAAAGGAAAGAACCACGGGCGTGACCAAACACTGGCACCCGTAATAGTTTGGTGTTCAAAGAAGAGAACACCATATAAAAGAGGTAACTTCCAGCTTTGGCCAAGCTACTGTACATTTTTGTATTGATTTGAATCTTCCTTTTTTTTTTTTATTAATTAGTCTAGATGCATTTAGGAACTTGGTTATCGGAATTTAATCAAATTAAGTTTACACATTGCGTTTAATAGTTTGAAATGTCTTGCATTATAAACACCTGGTGTTTTCAATTTCATTTAGAGACCAATTTATCCAACACCTTCAATGCATACAATTTATCCCATAGATGTGAGGCTGGTGCATTTACTAGTCGTGGTTGGAAACTTGGAATCTATTTAAACGTGGTGGTTGGAAACTTGGAATCTATTTAAACGTGGTAGTCCTAATGAAAAACTCTCTCTGGATATAGTAAGGTACAAATCAACTGCAGGGTGAATAAATTAGTTAATGAAATATTCATAGCAAAATAAAATCACCTATTTCTCAGTCCCAGTAATGTCCAGTGAACAGCACGAGCAGAAGCAGACAAAGGAGCTATAGCAGCAGCAGGAGTTCCACGAATAGCAGTTGCAAGGACTGATCCTGTACCAGCACCTCGCTGATAAGCTTTTAGTGGAGTCACAAGTAAAGCAGATGTAGTTCTACCAAAGCCATCACTTAAACTCTCATAAGCCTACAGAGAAGAGTGAAAAATGTCATGGATATGGATAGGACTAAATGATTTGCAGCTGATCTTTAATCACTCCCACAATGGATAGGAGGAGCAATAGCAAACACAAACCAAAGTAACAAAAACACTGCTCCATCAATTTTAAGCACCATAAAATAAAATCCAGTGAATGTCCCATCCTTTTTGCTTTAGGTGAGTGCAGCTACTAAGGTTTTGGTTGAAGCACATCATCAGGAACACCCCCAATACTTAAAGGCAGTTTAAATTATTTGAGGTTTACGATTGATTGAATTTCAAAAAATCATATTAAGTAATTATCCAACTTGTGAATACATGGTATGCTCGTTAGTATAACCTTGTAATATGGTGCATGAGAATAAATATGACCACTAGTTAATTTTGTAATGTGCAATACCAAAATCCTATAATCATAAAGAAACAAGAAGCTTTTGAAACCTCATAAATATGCCCATCAGTATAACTTGGTAACATGGCACATGAAAATTGTGTACCTGCTGGATCCCCTCTTGCGCATTTTCAGGTTGATTAGATCTTACATTTGCTTTTTTTCTCTTTATCTCGGACAATGGGACAGACATAGGAATACTTGTAAGGAAGTCTTCAGTTTGGAGTAAAATCTCATGTGCTCCAGCTGCCAAATGCAATCCCAGCCCCACAGCTTCAATTGATATGCTCTTAATGAAAGACATTGCTCCTACAAAATGATGCTGATAGTTCAGTGCATTCTGTTCTTGTATGACTTGTATGAAATGCAAGACTACGAAAGGTGACTTTCGAAAACTAGTAAATACTTGCAGATTTCAAATACATTATGCTTAACTGCATTTTTAAAAGAATTCCATCAATAAAGTTTGAGTAAAAACTAGCAGTTTGCATTTCGCTCGTAAGACCATTTATTTCTTCAAGCCCTCTAATATCTAAAGTCAATCATTCAGGTCTTTACCTTTTTGGCTAGCATGCCTGATTGCACAAAAAACAGAACTACAAATCATCCATATCGGTAGACGACAGGCCTTGGTGCAAGGGTAAGGTCACTCCTTTGCGACCTGAGTGATCAGGATTCAGGTCATGGAGACATCCTCTCTATATAAATGTAAGGCTAAGTACATTGATCCCAGAAAACACATTGGAAAGAGTCTCATACACTGGGTTTGTTCTTTTTCCATTTTAACCATCCATATTAGTATTTTAAGTGGAAAAAAATGTTTGATATTGCTAAGTATGTTTTTATCAATTTGAAGCTAGAATTAAATCTCTTTTTCTTGTTTTCTTCTTAGACATAAA